AACCTTCTTCCCCACACATTTTGTGAAGACGGCAGGTCACCGTGAGAAGCCTGAACCTGCCTGGCACCGTAGACTCCGACAGAGACGAGGCATAGCCAGGCTGCTCGTCCGACTTTCTACTTCTAAGAAGTTACTGAAGGCGCATCATTCGTCCAACGCCGTCCAGAAGATGGCGACTCGTTCATCAGGCCCGATGCCAGGACGCACGTGGAACTGCGCCAATTGTTTCCGTGTTGTGAAGGGCCATCATTGGAAGTGCTTGTGCGGGCTACACTATGATAGTAATTTCAATCGTGGCACAGGGCACCAGTGGCCAGTTCAGCCGTCTCGCCAGCACGCTCGCCCGCCACGCAAGCCCAGCCAGCCGCGAAGGGACAAAGCCCTCCAGCTACAGCAGCCCCAGAGGTCCAAGGCCCTCCGCACCTTCCTGGCGCGCATCGTACCCATCACGCGTGCACAGATGGGCAACCCCATCCAGCAGCCATGGGCCGCAGTATGGGAGGAGCCGCCGACCGATCCAGCCCAGATCAAGGATTACGAGAGCCGCATCTACAAGAAAATGGATGCGCTCGGGCAGCTCGCACTGGTCGCCAGGGATGCGGGCAAAGGTATCGACTCTCTAGTGGCGGAGATATCCTGCATGAAGCTCATGGCCCAGAGTACGGACAAAGCCAGCGTCCAACTCGGCAAGCTCAAAACGATGCGCGACACGGCCTGCGACAAGCTAAAGACCGTCCACGAGCAGAGGCACCGCCTGGCCGCGGAGGAGCAGGTCATTCAGCACGAGCTTGAGATGATCAACAACTCCATCCAGGAGGTCAAGGAGCTCGAGATCTACGAGCGCGAAGCCGAGGACGACGGGGGCGATGACATGGAGTGGATGGGCGCTGGCCTGCCCGAGGGCGCCTGGCCCGAGCAGGGCCTGCCGCAGGCCGCGGCTTTTGGCCCCCCGCCTGGCGCCTCGTCAGGCACCGCGGCCTTCGCCACCCCGCCGCCGCCGCCGCCCCAGGCCGCTGGGCACGGGCCCCCCCCGCAGCCGATGCCGCCCAGGCCCATGGGCCAGCCGCGCATGCAGCCAGCGAGGTCCGACCCCATGGTCCGCCCTGTCCCGCCGCCGCCGCCACCGCAGCAGCAGAACCAGCCCGACCCCTTCCAGATGCAGGTATTGGCCATGATGCATGCCTTTCAGTCACAGATGATAAGCATGGCCCATAAGCAGGATGCCAACATCGCCCAGCTCGGCATAGCCATCACCGAGATCCAGGGCACCAAGATGACGACAACATCAAGCGCCAGCGCACCATCCAGTGCGGGGTTTACCAGGCAGGAGGGGGCGAGCGCACCGCCTCAGCCTGCCTTGCCCCATGGTGCGCCTACGCCAGCCACGCCAGCAGTTTCGCCTACACCACCAGCAGCTACGCCGCCGCCAGCCCCAATGGAGGTGACGCCACCGCCTCATGGCCGTTACCCTGGGTCGCCCACGCCGCCGAATGCTCAGCCCTCGCCCGTCAGTCATGGCCCCTGCACGGAGGGATCGCGCGGGCCGCGCCCAACACCAGTTCCAGCCAGCGAGATGAAGCAGGAGCCCAAGGAGGAGGAGCTCAAGGAGGCCAAGCGCGAGGACATGTCCCAGGACACCCAGGTGCTGCACCAGCCTCCGTTGTCGCCGACCCAGCCATTCTTTCACGCGGGGGATCCTCTACAGGAGGACAGCCAAGTGACCGCGCCCCAACATTCAGTCACAGCCAATCTGATAGACGTTGCCGATTCTCAGCCGACGCAGATGACGGCCTCACAGATAGCCGAGGCTGCGCGCAACATCGAGTCCGCACACGGCGTTCCCGTGGGCCCGCCAGACCCCGATGCCGACGTGCCCAGCCCCCCGCGCAAGATGCCGAAGGGAGGCAAGGGCGAGGGCGGGCCTTTTTAGCCTATCGCCCCAGCCATACCAACTCGCAGGCTGTTCAGCCAGCGAGCGCCCTCTCACCTCTACCTCATCTCATTCATCTATATCGGTCGTCCAGAGTCGTCCAACTTTGCTCGTGCACTTCCTCTACCCCTCGATATGGAGATATAGATTTCGTGATTTTCTCGAGCGAGAACACCTCAACACCGGTGTGCACTTGCTCCAGCTTTGAAGGGGCAGCTTCCGCCCCAGCCATTATCATCACCGATATACGAAATTCAGGCGAAGACAGCCTTGCAAGGCAGCGTCGCCTTATTAGGTCTCTCTCCTCGGGGTATGGGGAGGGGGAGGGTAGGGCTGATCGACAACGTGTTGCCAGCAGCAACATCTCTTGTCTTACAGCTTCCTGTCGCGCAGCCTCTGCAACTAGACAGCCAGGCACGCCCCCAGGGATACAAGGGGACAGCCAAGCTAACACGCCTAACTGCCCCACCCCTAGGCACCTCCAGAGCCAAGCCAGCAAGAGGGTTCGAACTAGAGGGCAGCGTCCACGGCGTCCAGGGAATAGACACCAGTGCCACGCTTGCTCTCCAA